AGTAGTAGTAGTAGTAGTAGTAGTAGTAGTAGTAGTAGTAGTAGTAGTAGTAGTAGTAGTAGTAGTAGTAGTAGTAGGAGTCGTGAATATTTTCCGAAGGCAAACACCATTTTTTTTAAATAAAAATTATATCCAACCCCTAAACAAGTCGTTCTATTCACTTGCCCTGGGCTTGTGCACTACCAGCTTGAAACATAATTTGGAGCAATGAAATCGTGAGTTTTCACAAGCGTTTTTGAAACGTTTCCAGGTCAGAATTCCATGAAGCAAGCAAATCTCAGAAGAGTTAAGCAAGGATTTTAAAGGGCAGCAACAATAGTTTACTTATGGATCCCACCCCTAAACAATTCTGATTATTCACTTCCCCCTTGAACACTCGTTTGGGCAATGACATCGTTGAGTTTCAATAAGCGATTTTGAAAACGATTTCCAGGTCAGAATTCCATGAATCAAGCAAACTTCGGGAGAGTTCAGTAAGGATTTTAAAGGGCAGCAATAGCAGAACAATAGAAAAGTAGACACTCTGGGCGACAAAACCGTTTAACTATTCTTACCCATTAGACTATTCAGGGTGTGTGAATAGTTTGGCGAGCACTTTTTTTATTCCCACCCACCCATTTTACTAATTAGGATGCAACACCAGTGTTGACTGAATTTGTTGACTCCCCTCAATTGGGAATGGGTAAATCTACTGTCTCTTTTGCGGGGCCAAGAGTCCAAGACCCTTGCAAAAACTTGAGTTAAGACATGATCTCTATTGATTTCTATTCGATCAATCGTCTTACAATGATTACTTAGTCATACTTATATAGTTAGTAGGTGATTATTTGATCCAGATTGCTATTGAAACTCTTAAAAACAAATGCGGGTTTTGCAGATCAGAAGCTTTCTGCTTTCATCAACGGACTGCGCGGTTGAGAGCTGGTAAGCCCCGGGATCCCCTTCAACGTTGAAGACATAGGGATGCTAGCAGCGCTAGCAGACATGGGTGCCTTCAAGCGCTGCCACCCTCGGCGGTGTCCACCCTCGGTGAAACATCTTCCTTGCAACTGGGCGATCGGTGAAACAAGGGAGATTCAGACGATGAATGAACGTTTTATTTTCGAAACGCGTTCGTGAGCTCCAGAATCAAAGGAGAACGCGCCGTTTTCTTTTTCTTTTTTCCGGTGGTTTGCATCATTCCAGCTCCTTGTGGCCGGGTATGTAATTAGATGATATAGTTGCCGCTGGACCTCTTCGTGATTCTCCCACGCAACGGGTCAAGCAAGTTCGCTGGATCGCTCTCGATCATGGCGCAAAGATGCGCAACACTCTACGACCATTTGCCTTATCAATTCGTCAAAAGCGCCACCGTGGTGCAGGTTAAACACTAGAGAATATACACATATATATATATTATATTATATTATATTATATTATATTATATTATATTATATTATATATATGGTGCAGCCACCACCTCACCTCAGACCATTTCCTCCACTTGACCGTGTTCAGGGTGAAGCGCAAGGACAGCGTAGTTTGAGGTGTTGAGGTGCATTGACAATCTCGAGAGAGAGAAAGAGTGGGGAAAGCAGACTTTGGGGGTGCCAAACCGTCAAAGTCTGGTTGGGAATGCCGCTGTGGCTCAAGTCTTTTAAGGTATCAGCTTCCCTGGCCTTAAAACCATGTTTCCCAGCGGCCCAGCCTCGCTGCGAAGAAATTTGCATCTGTCAGCTGGCCAATTCCACCGGTCTCGACCGTAGTTCCAGGCCTTGCAGAGGCTCTTCGACGCGAAAGAAAACAATCTGGAGTTGAGGGATGCTCAGGAGGGCGCTAGCGGTGGCACAACCGGAGGGAGCAACCGCGTTCATGAGAACGACCACAGTAGAAGTAGCAGCCATACTAGATCCAGTGGAAGCAGTTCGTTTGTTTGCGGTCACATGGAAGATGGAAGGGTAGGAGGTTTGGTTGCTTTGATCGTTTTCGCTCATTCCCAAGGAATGTTATCACCTTCAACTGTGCCATCGGCTCCTTGAACGCATGAGATACACTTGTTGTTCATAGATTTTCATAGATTGATTTGCCAGATTATCCGGTTATCAAAAGCTTTTCCTGCCTTTCCTGATCAGCAAGAGTGTCGTTCATTGCATCAAAAACGTTCTGCTCGACACGGACAGCAACATGTCCAATTCTCCGTGATAGCTACGGGGTTCCTACTTCAAACACGAATGAGCTGCCCAGCACCGGCACCCTGTCTCCACGACCACAGCAACGGCACCCAGCACGGCACCAGCAACGGCAGCGTGTCTCGAAAGCGTGCATCATGCTGGTGCCAGTGCTGTTAGCTGGCTGCACGCGTTTGTAGAGACAGGGTGCTGTCAGTGCTGTGAGCTGGCTGTAAGCTGGCTGTGCGTTGTGGAGACAGGGTGTCTGTGCTGGTGCTGCCTGTGCACGCCGTGCACGGAGAACCGGTGGTGGTGTGGTCTGTGCATGTGCACAGCCTGAACAGGGCTGAACAGTGCTGGGTACTGCTGCCTGAGAAGCCTGGGAACTGCACTGTTTGTGAGCATATTTATATGTGCAACAGTCTATTCCACTGCTTGCCCGAAACATACTTATTGTATGCATATTATCCACAACAATGCGCACCATCATATTGTTTGATTGGGCAATACATATGCCGGAGCAGCATCTTTAAAAGCTTGAATCGTGAGTCTGATCAAAAGGCTGCTTGAGAACGTGGGGACCTCCAGAGTAGTGCCGTGTTGTGTATCGAATAGTCTGGCTTTGCGCTGCCTTGCTATGTTTGAAGGCTTGCACGCGACGCTTGAGAAACCTAGGAACTGTACTGTGCGCGCATATACTTTTGATTATATAGTTTTGTACGTTATCATCATAATATGTTTACGCGCAACATTATGTTGTGCTGTTTGTGCGCATACTGTTTATCATATTTTTCCATTGGGGCAAGGCATATGACATGTTATATTTCACGCGCGACGCACTACTTGTTTGCCTGTCTGATTGGCGTTTTGCTGGGCTCACTCACTCGCGGTCACTGGAAGAGTTCTCATGGATTTTTGACTTACTGTATCTGGGGTCTACGCCGGTGCAATTTTTGTGTTTTGCCAAGGTGCATGTGCCCGTGCAGGCAAATCGAAGCAGGCTGGGGGCAAGCGCCGGGATGGTTCATTCAGAGCTCGGAAAATCATCTGAAACCGAGGAGGGGCAAAGAACTGGAACCTAGTTGGGGGACTTACAGACTCTCAGTCTGAATGTCGCCAGCCTACTGTTGAACAGTGGTGTCGGCACAGAGGGAGAAGTTGCAGGTTCGTCCAGTTCGACATTCACAAACTGGATATCCCACTACTTTAGTGCAAAGATTCGCAGGTCGAACCCTCGGAGAGTCTTGGTTTGTCCCCATGAGCCTTCCAAGCTGCGACACCGAGACCCAGAAGGTAGGGGGGGGAAATAGAACATCTGATCTTTGAGGGGGTTGCGGCTTGTTGTGAGGCATGGGATTTCTTTTATGGGTCTTCCAGTATCAATCCATGTCAATCCTCATCACAGATTTTACCTTGAGAGGTACTTTTGATGCTGGCTGAGATGGTCAAGAGTGAGATTGAGCCGCAGACCCAGCGCTACTGAGGTGAATGGCACAAAGACAACACATTTGTGTTGGGATGATCAAGCCACGCAACGGAAACGGTGTGAACTGGCTGATGATAGACGTCTAGCAGGCCATTCTGCCAGGGGATCTATCGGCAGCACATCAGAATGTTCGACTGTTTCTGTGGTGCACTCCGATCGGTGCCCGAACCCCCCTTCACAGCCACCATGGCTTGAGCCTTCAGCCACTTGCGGCGGCGCGTGCACCCCATTGGAGGATCGGTGCGAGTTTCGATACGCCCGCTCCGCCGCGGCCATTTGTAGAGGATCATTCGGTGCAGGATCGGTGCGAGATAACGCGGATGGTGCTTGGCCTCAGTTCTTTTTGCTGGACGAATTGGGTGTCAAAGGTATCATCAATGATCCGGACCGGTGCTTCTGTGCGTCTGTGACATGCTCACAACTTGGGGCTTCCGAATCGGATTGACAATACTATAGGCTCTGATGGGGCATGCGGTACCCGCATGAAAAAAGAACTGCATGGCTGCTCACCAGTCCAATCCCATGTTCATCGAGGAACAGTTCAAAACTTTGCAACATCCCTCTCATGAATGCATTGAAGTGAATAGGAGTGTAGCTTCCACTCCTCATCATGTACAGTTATAATCTGTTATACTGATGGACCTTGCATGTCAGCTAGGTGATGCGAGGTGCCTACAAAGTCTGTCACCCCTCGTCAGTCTGTCGACGCTTGGAAAGGGCACCGGTTCGCCGTTGTCCAGCCATAATCATGGATCGTTTCTCGGGTTCCTGAAGGTTGATCTTCTCGAACGTTTAAGCGGTGAAGGGTTCATCTTTCTGCGGTGTTCTCTTTTGGCTTTCAACAGTTGTTACCGGGTCGTGGGGGTCGTGGGATCGTTGGGAAGTGCCGACTTGCCTTCAGACGTCCATGAGGCGGGCTTGGGAATCCCAGTGAAGCTGCTCCACGAGGGCATTGGCCACACGGTGACCTGTGCCTTTGGCAGATGCGCGAGGCGAGGCGTTCCTGTGGGCCACGGCAGGTCACAGGTGGGGTGGAACGGCAGGTTTGGGGAAGGGTTTTTTGACATGGGGACTTATGGAAGGTCCTGACAAATAAAAAGGGTTAGTAGTTGTAAAGACAAATCCAACTGGCTGATGAGAAGCACATAACCTTCCATAGACAGACAGCGGCATTTTGCGGAAGTTTTTGAGGGCCGCAATTCGAACATATCCTTACGGCTTCCGTGTTTAAACGCCTTGCAGATTGGGAATTCAAAAGTCTTAGAAGTAGCGGACCTAAGTACCGTGGGCATTTGTGGACCATTACCACGGGCCAATTCGAGCAAATTTGCCCAAGCACCAGGCTTGCATTAAGACACATTTGTTTTCTTATTCTGCCGGTGCCGGTGTTGGACCGGGCATTCCAGCCGGTTGCTTTTCTGGCGTTGCGTCCACTTCGCACCTGGAAGATCGAACATACACGGGTCCAGGACCGCAAAGCGGTGAAGGTCGAAGATGGGACCCAAAACCTGGTGGAAAAGATGTAAGATGAAGGGAGAAAACTCAACAAACATGGAGCTGGAATGATGATGTTTTGGGTCTCAAGTCTCAACACACTCAGGTGAATTGAAGACAGGCGAGATGTACCGAGGGCACTTGATGAATTGCGAGGACGAGTGCCGGGTAAGTTTTGCTGAAGAATGGTCCCAAACGTTGCTAAAATTACCAGGCCACATTTGAGCCTCAGGGCAGTCAACTCACCTTGTCATTGGCATCCAGTAGCTGCGCATATCTCACACCCGCCTTTCACGGCGCGTCAAAAAGCGCGGTCACGCGCTCCTCTTCAGCGCGCGAGGACAATATGAATGCCATGTTGGAAGGTGTGACCGTGACGGGTCGAGATGGCAAGGTCACCAACCTGGAGCAGGCGAGCCTGGCGAGCTTTTTTCTTTGGAAACTCCCAAAGCGCAACTGAACACATTGAGGGGAATCTGCTGGAAGCTGCAACTGGGAACTGCCTGGCTTCTCCATCCTCCTCCTTCTTTCCATCCTCCGCTTCGGGGGGGCGAATCCGTTTTCAACAAACGCGCTGGGCCAAGACGTGGGTGGAACCGTGCCGTGCGGTGCCGAACACGTTTCTGCCGTTGGCCGCGTTCGAGTCCGGTTCAGGTCTACTTGAGAGGATCACAGATCCGATATTTCATTCTTCCAGACATGCTGCGACATGCGCCGATGTTTAAGAAGAAGGCCAGGGAAAACGAGACGATAGACTGGGAAACTGAAAGCCATCGAACAAGTCTTGCGCAACGAGTTTTGGATGGGGGGACCTCAAAATGAATGAATCTGGTGCTGACCCTGAGCTTTCGTGTGATCATCGATATTGTCCCCTCTGGTATCCTCTGGTAATTACCTAGCTTTGAGATGACCCTTTGAGCCAAATCTATATGGAGATTTCAAGTCAGCCAACACACCATCAACTTAACGTTTCGACGAAAGGACAACACAGTAATGGCTAGTCATGGATTGTCCATCCTGCATGTTTTTGAGAACGAGAACTTCCCTCCATTTGCCATGGATCCCCTCGTTGTAGCTTCTCCTAGCACAACTCGTCCTAGGTTCCTTTTCGCTTTGCCTCAGAATGTTGTAATTCCCACCAAACTGGTTGATTTGGAAGATTGATGAGACTTTAGTCACCCATCATATGTAATGTAATGATGCTAGGAAGACATAGTGGAGAGGTTTTCCCCGAAGGCCACATAGGCGGATGTCAAATCGATTGTCAGCAGACTTAGAGTCCCCAAAGAATCGAGACTTTCTTTGAGTTGCTTTTGCTTGAGCTCAACCTCCAGTAACAGACTCAAAGTCAGTGGAGCTGACTTAAGTTATGTCAGTGTTATGTCAGTGGAGCTGACTGTTCACTGTTATGTCAGTGTAACAGACTTAAGCTCAACCTCCAGTCCTGTGCCGCAGACATCCTTTTCCAACGCCAGGGCCGTGGCGCGGGCCGTGGGGTTTATGGGCCTGGAGGCAAGGGCCGTGCAAAGGGCCTGGCCCAGAGGGCACGCACTGCAGCAGCACCTGGGCGGCATCGGCCTGGAAGTGAGATGCACAGCTTGGTCTGGATGAGTGGACGCGGAGCAAACCTGACCAGAGGTTTGTAGGGGATGAACCCTGGTTTTGGGGGCGATGTGAGACACACAGACGCGCAGCGATCACCGAGGGAACATGGAAGTGACACGCTCTTTTCGTGGGCGGAGGTTTCTCTATGAGTCCCGCCATCCCCACCAATAATCATGGAAGTGGATGGCACAACCTGTGTGGTATTCGGAACATAGAATGAGGCTGTTGGAAAGTTGGATCTTTCCATCCAACCAATCAACGGTGCGTCCCAAGTCCGGGACGAAGAGGACGCTCGTTCTTTTTCCCGGGAGGTTCCCACGGGCCCGGAACGATCTGAATAGTACAGTCGTTGGGCTGTTCGGGGTGTTCGGGTCTTAGATGTGGTGGACAAACGCCTAGCATAGCTGCCGCGAGGACGCCGAGAGGACTCCGCACGACCGCGACGACCGAAACGCTGCGACCGCCACCAAGGCAGCCACGAGGAAATAGGCGGTTTTGCTGAGATGCGGCATGACAGGGCATTGTATTGCTTGGCAGCTTTATTGAAAGTGCACCCCGAGGCTGTTATGCTTTAGATGAACTTTATAGGCTTGAAGGACCGTTTGCATGGCAGAGAGGCCAAGTTCAAGTTGACATGCAATAGTCGCTGCAAGCAATCACGTGGTGCAAATATTTGATCCTGCTAGTTGAGATATTAGCGCGGAAGCTGAGACGTGGAGCATTGCAGAAAAGGTCTCCCGTGCAGCGTTTTCGAGCTGGCATAGTCCTCCAACCACCTCGCTGGCACACAAAAGACCACTCCAAATAGAGAGCTGGGGTTTGGATGGGTTTGATCTGAAGTGGTTTCAGAGTACATGGCACAAACCCCAAGAACCCCCAAGATGTCTTTCTACCAAAACCCTGTTGGGGGGGATTGTGCCATCTGCGGGTCTCCCCCGGGTCCAACCGCCAACTTTCATCGCATCCAAATGTGGAAAAGGGATCTATGAGCCAGCCAAGGAGGATCCAGAAGGGACACACAAACTGAACCAAAGAGACTCAAAGAAAAACCCAACGGTTTGCTTTCATTTCGATGCTTTTCGCACCCGGCAAAGCAAATTTGCTTTGAGCTTCAAGCAACAACAAACCAAAGGAACCACACCTCAGACACTTTCAAGCAACTTAGAACCTTCTTTTGCTGAACGGTCCACCACGGTGCAACTTCCATTTAGGGGGGGACCAGCTCCAGGCCAACTTCTTCAATCCCAAAAGCGGTGATTGACTCGGTCCATGTCGGTATATAAAACATTATAAAACCGGGATGGTCAGCAAGTAGACCCAAACGCAGGATTTGTCTCCTTGTTTTCCCACCTTTCAACCTCCACGCGCACGCGCAGAGCCGCTCGTTCACGCTCGAACCCCCCGCTCCGCGGTAGGTCACGCGCGCGTCGGACGCTACCACCGTCGGACGGCTCGTCTCGCGCTCTCTCGAGGGCTGACCACTTCATCTACTTCAACGTCGAGGTCTCAGAGGTCGATCCCTTCAGGTCGATCCCGTTTCGGCCGAATCGAGAGCCCTCCCTAGCTTCGGTCACAGAAGCGAAGCTACGAATGCAGTCGGACGCACTTGTTGGTTGGAGGCCATGGCTACTAGGAACAAGAAGCTACAGTAGCTAGGATGCTATTAGGTTGGAGCAAATGGATACGATCCGCCTGAGCGGATAGAGACATAGACATTGGCATAGCAATGATATATCCAATGATGGTGTACAGAGCTCTTACAATGTTTACAATGTCGACGATCATTTGATTTACTTGATTCCCGCACTTCAGGCACTGAGCTCTTGCAAGCGACAGCGGGATCAGTGGCCACAGGTGCGTGTTCGTTTTGGCGTGTGAACGACAAGGATTCCATCATCCCCGTAGCCAGTCCAAGCCACTTATGACAGAAAAAAGTCAGGAAAATCGGCTTGAAGATCATCATTAGTTTCTGGTCTTCACATGTCCACTGAACCACTGCATTTGAGTCTTCTTGAATTGGAGATCCTCTGCTTGATTCTTCTTTAAGCCTTTTCGCCGGAAGCCGACTCTGGTCGCTGTCACGAATCACCCACGCCGTTTTACGGGTCCTCCGTTCAGGGTCGGAGCTGATGGCTGATTCTTGGGTCTCATGGGTTTATTGTTTCGGGGAAAACACCCGACGATCTGACGATCTGACTATAGGATCTATGATCCATTCACGCCGCACGCGTGATAAATCTTATGCTGTTGATAGGAGATCGCTTCACCACGTCGTGATAGAAGTCATACAGCCTGCGCAGCTTCCACCGGCGCTTTTTTTGTTTTATTCGCGGCCCACGGAGTGTGCCGGAGTGTGCCGCTTTGAGGCGCTGAGTTTTCTCCTTGCTGCTGCCTGCAGCGGGATTACGCTCGAGAAGGGGGGGCTACACTGAAGCGGCCAGCGCCTTATCCGGAGAAAGGCAGGAGACCGTTTGTGTTTCGGCTAGCGGCTAGGATAAGTAACAAGTAGTAACTTTTGTAAGGTTTCTTGGAAGGTTCCCTAGTGGTTGAGTGCATGCAGGTCATGAGATGTCATGAGGAGCTTTGAACCTGAGCACCCCGGGCTCCAAATGGATAGTTTCAGATCACATGGGACACGAGTTCTCCGCAGTTGTTGATGGAATAATTTTCAGATGGGCAACTGCAGAGGTTGATGGAGATGGGCAAAACGGCAAAACATTCATTCAATCCTGCCAGTATCTCACAGCAACAAAGGCAATTTTGGGACACAAGGACTATATGACTAGATTTTACTTGAGTTAAACAATAATCTCAAGCAGGCCTCCACCCTGGACACCCTTCCAAGAAGGTATAAGTCATCAAGAAGCCCTGGCAAATCGCCTCCACTTCCAAATGATAAGATTTCCACCTGGCACCTTTTCATCCCTGATCAACAAGACTTCGGAGAAGTCGCGTGCCTGATTTCGTTCCTCCTTCCCGGCCTGAGAACACCTGCTTCCTGGTTTTTGGGTGATTGGTATGTTCCCCGTGATCTGTTCATCCTGTAGCCTGGGAAGGTTCATTTTTTCCATCCCTTTTTCCGCGGTTTCGTCCCGTTCGCACGTCCAAGGCGACCGATCGACGACCGATCGCCGACCCGACCCGCGACCCGACGTGTGTGCCAAGCAGTCGGAGTGCAAGGAGTTCGGTTCCCGGGTGGGAAGGACTCTGAAGGCTTCGCAGCAATTCTCCCGGAATTCGGGTGAAAGACGACCTTCGCACCGAAACGATGCCAGACGGAACGTGGTCCAGATCTCTTGGGCTGAGCCTGATTCGTCGCAAGGTCACCATGTGCAGCAGAGCTGGTGTGTGGAGGAAGGCACCCCGTTTTTGGTTTGCAGGAGGTTCGGGAGGACGGGATGTGCTGGATGTTACATCCTTGAGGTTGTGAGAGGGTTTAACCCCAACTGACGCCATAAAAGATGTATATGACATACTGTTACTATTGTCCTTTGATATCTGTAGCAAATCAGATTTTCAACTGGATTGAAAGAACCCCTTTCATGTTCATTCAGGCGCGTTTCAACCAAGAAGTTTTGTAGGACCCCAACATCAACCCTAGGAGAATTGTTCTTCCTCCACTCCAAGACTGCGATTCTCAGCTTTCATCAATTTCTTGAAGCAACCAGACTTCGCCTCCCAAGGCCTGGGAGGTGTTTGATGAGGCAGTAAGCCGCGGTGTCCGCCCAAACACCATTTTGCGGAACTCCTTGGTGGTGCGGGTGCTTGGTTTGCAGGGTGTCGGGTAATCATGAGGTCTGGTGGGAGAGGGAGGTGGATATGAGTGTGTATTGAAATATAGGGAGACAAAGACGACTCGGAAGAAGGAAATAGACCAACAGTGGTTGGGGGCCTATCTGTTTTAATATGTTTTAATATATATATATATATATATTTGTTTAGTATACAAATACACACCCAGCCAATGGCTCAAAAGGTAAAACTCCGGAAGCCACCGGTGTGAGTCAATTCTTTCGTTCTTTCAGAATCTTTCAGAGGGTTTTAGATGGAATCCGGTTAAACAGAGCCATTCTCGTGCGCCGCTGATACAAAGCCGGGAGAAAGACAGAGTTTCTCCATGTGATGGACCGAGTTCCGTTCGTAGCGATGCCCTTTGCTCCTAGTAGCGTCCTTGTTCCTAGTAGTAAGGCCAGGAGCCCCTAGTAGCGTTCCGAAACTGTGGTCTGGTGCCCAAACTGGGACACTCCTTGGGTTGGAGGTTGTATACTCCGAATGCCTCTCGCCCCAAACGCACTCCGGCCCCAGAACCCAAAGGATCTTGACCCAGAGACGGCAAGGGGTAGAGTAGTGCAGGACTTGAAAATGCTCCTGATCGAGGCTACCCATGGCGAAAAGGGTGGCGAATGGCTGCGAGTTCGTCCCAAACCATCCCGCTTCCGCCATGCTCCTAGCCGCGTCGGCTTGCGTGAGATTCAATGTGCAATGGCAGGACAGGAATGAAAAGCGCCGTCTTCCAGAATCGAGAGTCATACTTTATTGTTGTCTAACAACGGTGACCGGCGTGTGTCATGTGAGCCTGACGGTTGTAAGGAAGGTTTCACTCGTGAAAGTGAACAGGTACTTTTCTTGGTGTCAATGAATTGCAGCAGCAGCAGCAGCAGCAGCAGCAGCAGCAGCAGCAGCAGCAGC